CCTCACCCCACTGCGGGATGACTGGAACAAGGCCTCCTGGGACAGGAGCCCTGGCTTCCCCGCAGTAATCCTCATGGCTGCTCTTATCTCAGAGTGATCCTGAGACATCCAAAACAGCCAGCCTGTGCTCAGGGCAATCCAACCACTTGCCAGAGAAGTGGTTGCTCAGTTAATGGCTCCTCTGGCTGACTTTAAGGTATGAGGGAAGGGCCAGTCTGCTGCCACTCATAGGCCTGAAGGACCTTGCTCTGAACTACAGAAACAACAACAAAACAAAACAAAACCCTCATGGGAGAGTGCTTATAATAAAAACTTAAAGAAATGCCAAAGCACAATGAACAGTGACTACATCTTTGAACAGTAATGATGCTTAATTGTGCCAAGTCCCTGCCTCAGTGCCCAAAGGAGGGCAGTCCCTCTGCCTGTCTCACTTTGTCTACGTTCTCATTATGGGTATGACTCCAGGAAATTTCCTCAGCTGGCTTCTTAGATGATTACAAGGAAGGCGACAGCCCTCACTGGTTGTCACTGAGCGTTGGCCATGAACAGGGCAGAGTCCTGGACTTTTATTCTGAACCGTATGCTGGAGCAAAGAAGAACATACAAGAGAATTTTGTTTTGCTTGTTTGTTTGTTGTTTGTTTTTTCAGAGCCAAGGACTGAACCCAGGGCCTTGAGCTTGCTAGGCAATCACTCTGCCACCCAGCCAAACCTTCAACCTCAAAAAGAAAGTTTTTGAAAGTCCCCATTTACATGTCTTCATTCTAGGGTGGAGACACAATGAATAATCAGATCTGTACTGTGTCCTGTAGGTTTGCATGCCTTCTCAGGAAGGCAAATAAGCCTCCCTCCCCCCCCCCACCCCTCCCCCGTTGTGTGTGCATATACAATCTGGTCCGTGGCTTTCTCCTTTTCTCCATCAAGGTAATTAATAGTGACAGAATATGCACCAGCTGGTTATCATTCCAGAACAAATTACTACAAACCTAATGACTTAAAGCAAAATTAATCCCCTTATGGTGTATGCACCTGGCAAAGGTTGAGATCAGGGTGTCAGCCAGGAGGATTTGCCAGCCCGGCAGGGTTGGGGAAGGAGAACTGGGCACACTGTGGTCTTGGCTGAGGTTCAGTCCTTCATGGGAAGCTGATCTAAGGCCCTCAGTTCTCCACTGGCTAGGGCCTGGAGGCATCCACACTATGTGATTCAGTAGATACTTGCCCTGGGTGGGTGGGGCTTCCACAGGGCATCTCTTGCTATGGCAAGTGGTTTGATCAGAACGAATGGCTAAGTGCTCAGGAGACCAAGAGTAAGGCTGACACTGCCAGATTTTACAACCAGGTTGTAAATGGCAGTTTGTTAGCTTCCGTTTTGTAGAACCCTATCACTAGATCCTGACTACTGGCAGGGAACCCAGAGAAGTGGACAGCCCTGGGACATGAATGGCAAGGGGCAGAGACCATTGGGGTGCATTCAAAAGGCGCTTCCTCCTTGAAAGGGTCGAATGTAGAAGGAGGTATCAGACGGGGTATCAGGCAGGCGCACAACCATCCCCACAGCACATGTGAGCCATGAAGACCAAAGACATCTAGGCCATTCCAGTCACACAGCTTCCGTGGACAGTCTCACAGAAGTGGACAGCAATGTGGACAGTCTCATAGGGATGGGACAGCACTTGCTGAAATGATGCTGACAGTTCCACAGAGAAAGGATGAGCTACCACATGGGACTGGCCAGCAGGCAGTCATTGGAGGACGGTGGTGTGATAGGACAGTTGATCCCAGTAACCGCTTGCTACGGTTTGAATCCCAAATGTGCCCCCCCCCCCCCACTGCTCACATCTGAAGTCCAGCTTCCAGTTGCTGGCTGTTTGAAGGCTGTGAGACTGGAGGCAAGGCCTGCTGGTGGAAGTAGTTTGTCAGGGGCCTTTGAAGTCATCCCCACCACTCCTTCTGGCCCAGAGCTCCCTGCTTCCGGTCTGTCATGATCTGAGGTGTCTCCGACATTGGTTTTTTGGCAGTGTGACCTCCACCATGTCTGTCCTGCTGCATTGAACTGTAATCCCCCTAAATCCATGAGCCAAACTAACCTTCCTCCTGTCAAGACATCTCCCTTGGCCTCAATTTTCTTGTTCTCCAAAACAGGGATATTGGTTTTTTGGCAGTGTGACCTCCACCATGTCTGTCCTGCTGCATTGAACTGTAATCCCCCTAAATCCATGAGCCAAACTAACCTTCCTCCTGTCAAGCCATCTCCCTTGGCCTCAATTTTCTTGTTCTCCAAAACAGGGATAGATTGTAGTAATTCCTACCTCCTTAGGTTATGGTGGGGTTAACAGGGAGGTAAAACACCAACAATATCCAGTAATTATCAAAAGTAATTTCACTCTGTTTCAAATTTTCAGTCCAGTTATTAATGCTGTACAATTTGATCTTAAAATCTGCAGCTTAAGCAACCTTTTCTCTTTCTTTCTTGCTTTCTTTCTTTCTTTTGATTTTTTGAGACAGGGTTTCTTTTATAGCCCTGGCTGTCCTGGAACTTGCCCTGAAGACCAGGCTGTCCTCAGACTCAAAGATCTACCTGCCTCTGACTCCTGAGTGCTGGGATTAAAGGCCTGCACTGCCACCACCATCCTGCGAACCAACCATTTCTTATTCTTGTGCATGGGATTTGGGACCCTTGGATCCAATCTGACACTGCTTCATGGTATCTAAGTCTAAGGACTCCTGGGGGCTGGGGTCATCTCATAGAGCATGGGTTCAAAATGAGCAGAAGCTCATATGACTATATGTTGAGACTATCTATAAGTCACTCTTGTTATCGTGGGTTTCTTCACAGCGTGGCTGATAGTTGACCTTTGTTAGCTTTTTGAGACAATCTCCCTAAGTGGCCCCAGTTGCCCTCAAACTCATACTCCTCCTGCTTCAGCTTCCCAGTTGCCAGCATTATGGGTGTGTGCCACTATGCCCAGTTAGTGAGACCCACCTGGAGACACAGTGTCCCAGTGTCTTGGGCCAACAGTCACATAGCTTGCTACTCTGTGCAATCTCTTGGAGTACATACATAAGGGAGAACATGAAGAACTTGGGGCCATGTTTTCAAACTGCCCTCACCACCATTCCTCTCTGACTATAAAGGGCCTTGACTCAGAAGGTCTTGTCTACACCATTTTGCAAGATATTTGTCTGTGCCCACGGCACTTGGATGGGCTTGGAGAAAGTACATGTGTCTACTTGGGAGGCTGGGTTAGTATGAATACGTGAGTGTGAAAGGCTGGGGAAGGCTGTGCTCACTTGGGTGCTGAGCCTGCATGTGGTCTTGGAGTGAGCATTAGTGATATTGTCCCCAGCCTAGGTGCAGAGCCAGCTGCCCCCTGATTCTACATGGATGCCCACAGCCATACAGCAGCAAGCACAGAACGCTCCATCTCCCTGCCCAGCTGCACAGCACCCCCTTCCAGTGTGTGAGTCTCCTCTGGTTTGCCCACATGTCTCTACCCCAACTATTGTCTGAGCCTGTAAGACCCTCAGAATGAGGAGTCTCCCAGTTTCGGTCGGTGCCCCCAAGAACTCAATGTCCAGTCCAGTTGCTGCAACACACAAGAAGCTTTAATGAACAGGAAACGTTTGCGCAAACGGGCTCCTCCAGCACGAAGGCTAGAGAGAAGCGCCATCCCCAGGGCACAGGTGTTTTTAAAGGCAAAACCCACAAGCTTAGGGAGGGGGTGTGACCCTCTCTCCATTGAGTTTGTGACCCTTTGAGGCCAGATGTTCTCACTATTAGGGTCAACAGACCTTAGGGCCTCAGGGTGTGCTAATTGATCTTGTCTGGGCAAACCAGAGGTACAGTTATCTCTTTGTTTCTTAAGGACCCTATTCACCACCTGCTGACTCACAAGAAAGGAGGGGCAGTGTGAATTCTTGGTATCTTGTTATTTCAGGGCCTTGTGAGGGGAAGTTAGCAAATTCCAAGGAACAGATATTGGTCTGGGTTAGCTTTCCAGGTTAGTCTGTCCTTCATTTCAAGTGGGGGGGGTTCTTTAACCTTACATTTTTGTCTTTCAAGCCCAAATTGCCCCATCTCTGCCAGCTGCCCAGCTCCCAGCCTGGCTTGTGTACCCATCAGAACTCTTAGTTGTCCCTTCAATTGGGATCAAACTCCTCGTTCCTGGAGTGGGATATACTCAGTGGTAGAGCATTTGCCTAGCACACAGGTCTTAAATGCAGCTCCCAGCACCCTCCCCCACATTCCTCCTCAGCCTCCCTGTCTTGAGGTTACCCTTCCCTGGCCCATCCTCTCCTCTCCACTTGACCTCTCAAACTCTTAGGTTCCACACCCTCAGCCGTCACCGTGGTGTTCTTTCCTACCCATGGGCTCCTTTGCTGTTCCCTGGGCCTGGTCCATCAGGCCCCAGCTGATGTTTCCCCTGCTTAGACCCACCCAGCTGTCCCCAACTGCCTGGCCCAGCGCCCAGTCTCATGGTATGTCACCCTTCCTTATGCAGCTGGCTCTTCTGACTCCTTTAGCTCATTCTCTTCAGCTGTTACAAAGAAGGCTCCTAAGGAACAAGGAGCTTGTCTGCCTTGTTTCCCGGCCACACTGTGTCTAAACTAGTGTTCCTGTGGCTTGCAGGTGCCCAGACTTCCATGAGAATGCCTGGGATATCAGAGGTGCTGAGTGTGGGGGGTGTACACATGGGAGAGGCCCCACACAGTGTGTGTGTGTGTGTGTGTGTGTGTGTGTGTGTGTGTGTGTGTTTTCTTGGGAGAGGTCTGGCATGGGGGTGTGGTGTGTATATACATGGGTGAGGCCTGACACAGGGGTGTGTGGTGTGTGTGTAGGGGGGTGCACAGTGACTGTGGAAACTATTTGCAGAGTGACAGTCCCTCCCAGGGAAACTTGAAGTAAGTTCCCTTGTAGGGCAGCCAGGCAGCCACAGAATTGTCAGTCGCGGGGCGGTCCCAGGCTCCCCTCTGTCCCGCCCCCCAAGCTCAGGCCGGTCTGGCCAACGTGGCTGGCGGAGGGAGGGCGCAGGCCCAACCCTGGGGAAAGTTTGTTTGCCACTGCTACAGCGCGGATTTGACTGGGGCCTGCAGGCTAGCTATGGGTAAGTCGCTGCCGGCCTCGGAGCTCAGGCTGGGAGAGCTGCAGGCATGGGCCCCCCCACCCCCACCCGGACCCCTGCGCAGGACAGGGTGACTCCACCTCTTGTCAATCCACTTTCCCGGGGTGTGGCCTTGCCCCAGGGAGCCCCCAGGAGGCCCTGTGAGCAGATTCTGCAGACAGGGCTTGGCATGGTTCTGCAGACAGGGTCGCTTTGGGGTGCTTGAGCCTGCCGGGGGTTCTGCAGACAAATCTGGGGAGACTCCAGTTCTGCAGACGGAGCCAAGCGAGCCGGCAAGTTGCTAAACACTCCAGTGCTGGGTACTGCCCTAGGCCAGGGCGCCTTCAGGTGCGGATTAGACAGAATGTGTGTGCTGGGTTTGCCTGCAGTGAGAGGAAACTGGTCCACCGATGAAGGAGTTCTAGCCAGGTGGGCATGTCTTGGCCACTTCGGGGGCCCAAGATTTCTGTTAACTTTTCTGGATTTAGAAACTCAAAGGGACAGTCAGCTCCTCGTTCTTCATTCTTCAGCGGGCATATGGTTCAGGCCGTGCCCACAGGCTGGGGTACCCAGTGAACAAGCGTTCTCAGCCTTGGGGGTGAGGAGTTGGGGGAACAGGGAATGAACAAGATGCTGTGGGACATACGGGGCTATGAAGGCCCGGAGGTGTGTTCCTTTTGTAGCACAGGGGTCAAGGCAGACCTGAAACCTTATCCAGAAGTGGGTTTTTCTGAGACCTAGGGAAGAGCTTCTGTTAGGCAGGAATGCACAGTGGGGTCCAAGCCAGAGGGGCAGCAGCTCAGTGGATAAGGGGAGGGGGCTGGGAGCTGAGTACGGGGCAAATTGTGCAGGGCTCTGGGGGCTTTGAGGAGAAGTTTGGATGTCATTCCAAAGGACAAGGGAAGCTGGAGGTTTTAAGCTGCATTAGTAAATGGAGTACCTTGAATCGTCTCTTCAGTGGAGATTCATAGTAGCTAACACTGGTTGTGATATAGCTAATATCGAATGTGTTCAGAAAGGTGTAGTCTCTGACAGCCATGACAGAGAATAAACATCCCCATTTTAAAAGGGATCAACAGGAGATTATCAAGGAAAAACTGAGCCAAAGCAAGACCCAAATCCAGAAAGGCAATTAGTAGTTCCCGGAGATCCAGGCCTGGCATCTGGGACTCACAGTGTCACAATGCGAGTATCCATGGGTTTGAACAGCCTTGTCTCCATCAACTGAAAGACTAAAGATCACATGTTCAGTCTGAGCCAGCTCCTTTGTGGCTTTCCTTGGTGTATGGGCCACATTTCTGGTACCTCTAACTTCCTGGGGTTTCCACATCAACATTCTGCCATCAGCTCTTAGGGCAGTGAGGTCCTCTGGGATCCACGACTGCAGTGTCCTCAGAGTCCCTGGCCAGATGATCATGTTGATATAATCTCTGAGGAAACTACTTCCTAGATGGCCCTGAGTCCCATGGTAACCCCAGAGACTATTGGTACCACAAGGAAAGCCTTTTAATTAAGTTTCCAGCTTTGTTACTTCCATGGCTGGGACTTGGTAGCTTTCTAAGATTCCCACAAAGCCTCTTACCAATTGTCCTAATACAGTGTGTCTGGCTTATTTTTTAATGGTGTGAATCTCTGCAGAGACATTGCCTTCTTCAGCTCCAACTTTGCACAGGCTTCTCAGACTGGACTGCTCTGCTCTTTTTCACAACGCTCACTATAAACCTGACAAAAAGCAGCTAGCAACAGCTACATTGTTGAAATTCCTGTAACAACCAGCTTAATATTGTTTAAAAAACATTTCAAACATTCTCCCCCCCTCTCTCTCTCTCTCTGTGTGTGTGTGTGAGTGTGTGTGTGTGTGTGTGTGGAGAGAGAGAGAGAGGTGATAATGATGATGTGTGTGGATGGATAGGAAGAGGAGCATAGGAATATACACCCTGTGCTATGCATATGGAAATCAAAGAACAAACAACCTTTGGCAATTGCTTCTCTTTCTACCTTGTTGACGCAGGTCTCTCTGGTTATTTTTGTTGCTCTGTGAGTTCTGGGATAGCTACCTCAAAGCCTCTGAGTGATTCTACTTCTTCTGCCTCCCACCTTGCTAGATGAATGCTGGGATTACAGATGTGACAACCACATCTGGCTTTCTGTAGATTCTAGGATTCAAACTCCATTGTCAGGCTTGTTCAGCAAGCATTCTACCTGTGGAGCCACCTCACTGGGCCTAAAGTATGACTTTTAAAGTTAGCTTCCCACAGAGTCTCAGGTTATGGATAAATTGTACATAAATTCTTTGTTGGAATGTAGCAAATGGCCTCTAGTCCAATTCTAAACAGAATGTTTATTCCTGTCTGAAGCCTCACAGGCCTGGATATTGCTGTCTGCATTCCTGTTGGTGCTCTGGTCTTCTAGGTTCCTACTGGACACCCTCTTAAGCCTGATAATAGCATTCTTGGGAATCTCTAGTCCACACATCTAAAATCTTGCAAAACCCTCGCACAAACCTGTTCTATAGGTTTAAGAACCACATGGGCAGATATAGCCACAGCAACAATCCTACTTAAGGCACCAATTTCCTGTATTAGTTATTTTCTGTAACTGCAACCCCAATATAGGCATGGCTTATTTTTACATCACATTATTTTACATCACATAAAGGCAGAATAGCATAGTGATGGAACATTGGAGGGAAGGGATGACGGCAGGGTATCATGTGATGATGGGAGCGTGGAGGGAAGGGGCTTTTTAACTTTATGATGGGTTGGAAGCAGAGTGTGGAGAAGAGAGGGAGGCAGTGAATTACTTCCTTCAGATAGGTCCCATGTCCTAATGCTTCCAGAACCTTCCCAAATAATGTCATCCATGAGTCACCTCATGTAGCTTAACAGAATCTATGAGAGTGAACTCTATGGATTAAGGGAGGGGTGAACAGTGGGGCCAAGCAGTAATTTTTGGGTGCTTCCTCCATCAGGAGCAGGGAAACTGAGTAGCAGGATGTAGGGGTATTGGTAAAGAAGAGGGTAGAAATTGGGATGACTTTCCCACCATGAATATTTGCCTCTGGGTTAAAACTGACAGCTGGGAAGAGCAAGAATGGGAGAACAGGACAAAATCCTATCACACCATCTTTTGTTAACTAGGGGTGCCCAATGCTCCCCTTTGGCTTTGGGGAAGGCTCCCCCCCTTCCCCATCATGAGTTTATTCCCTTACAGGTAATTCTGGAGCACACCTCATAAAGTTGTGATGAGACACAAATGAGTTATTAAGCTTGGTGATCAAAGCCATGCCGGGATCAGAGGCTGCTCTCAGTAAATCTGGTTATTATATTACCAATGTTCTTGGGTCTGAAGTGGAGGTGGTGTCAGATGTTGCTGGCTGCTTCTAGATGCTTCCAGAAATATCTATGTTGAAATGTATGAATTAAACATAAGAATGACCTGTACAACTTCAATGCCAATGTCACAGTCACCAAACACATAAATTATTAAGATTATTATTAATGATCATAATAGGAATTTATTCTGAAGGTCATGGGCACTAAGAGACTGTTTTTCTAAGTAAATTAATGGAAACGAAGCCTGAAGCTTTCCATCACATTAGCTGCCATTCAAGTGCCCAGTTGTTCACACACACACACATACACACACACACACACACACACACACACACACACACGGCTGGTAACTACCACATAAAATAGGGTAGGTGCAGATGTTTCCATATTCTAGAACATTCTCCTGGACAGCACTGCTGTTAGATGACAGGAAATGGATCTGTGGTATGTGTGTACAGGGTGGGGGTTGTCGAAATAGCAGCCTCAACCTTAATCCATTTGTGAAAACATGTTTGGCAAGAAAAAGCAGCATCTTGGCCAAGGGTGTGTGTGTGTGTGTGTTGAGTGGTCAGTGGGGAGAGCTTGGCTGATACTTTTAAATTGGTCTTTGCAAAGCAGGAACTCTTAGGATGAGCTGGAAAGCATCCAGTTCTAACTAGTTAGGGACAAGTAGTCTGAAAACTTAGGGTCTGAAGGAGGGGTGTCCTGGCAGGCACATCTGAAGGTAGGAACCTACTGACCATGAGGATTTGTGAACTGAGGGTAGGAGCGATCATGGCTGACAAACACTGAGCCACTGCTCTGTGTTTTTCTCCGGTGTCTCTGCTCACAGTCCCTTTGTAAGCCACCATGTTCGCGTTTCTGTCTCTTCGTCCTCACACTGTGCATGCCCTCAAGGCTTAGTGGCCAAAGATCCTCGATTCTCTCATTCCCTTACCATTTCATTAATATCTGCTTTTAAATTCATGAATTCTGCATGTTCCTTGGGGCTATTTTTCTTTCGGATTTTTCTCGTTTCCTTACTTGAAGGTATAATTTATTGTCAGGTTATTTTGGGGTTTCTGATAAAAATCACCCGGCTGCCTCTTTGACTGCATCCCACAGTCTGGGGCATGTGGCCTTTCTGTCCCCTGTAGATGGCTATTTTTTTTTTCTTAGTCCTCCTCCTCTGCTAGTCTTTTGTGTCTCCTCCTGCCCTAACCTACAGCCTGCTGGGCTCACAGCCTGCCTAAGGTCTCATAGGAACACTACTTTCATGATCCTCACTCCTACCCCAGACAAGGTTTCCCTATGTAGCCTTGGCTGTCCTAGAACTCACAGAGATCTGCCTCTCAAGTGCTGGGATTAAAGGTAGGCACCACCATGGCCCAGCTTGGTTTCATGATTCTTAAGGAGGGAAGTAACTGGTCAGATGTGCTCCTTGATTGCCACCAGCTGATTTTCTTGTCCTTAGGTAGTGTTGAGGATAGAACCCAGGACCCCATTCACCTTGGGCAAGCACTCTACTGCTAAGCTGCACTCCCTGTCCCACACACTGCTTTCCCAGTCCCTTGTCATTCACTTGAGCATTCTCTGCTGAAGCGGGGCCAAGTGGTATAGTCTCAACTACTTGGAAGGACAAGACAACTTTAGACCAGATCTCTTTAGATCTCTTCCAAGACCAGCCTGAGCAACACTGAGAGTCTTCGAGAGGGAAAGAGACTGGTCTAGTGTCACACAGTTGATGAGCTATGACAACAGCTTTCATGACAGTCCGGTCTTTAGTGAGGGAGAAAGGGAGGCAGGGTAGACAGACAGCTGCCTGCTTGGATGGATGGATGGGTGGGTGGGTGGGTGGGTAGGTGGGTAGGTGGGTGGGTGGGTATAAGTATAGATAGATGGATATGTGAATTGATGGAAGGAAGAAAGGAGAAGAAGGAAGTAGTTGACTGATCGGATGCATATATGTATAGACTGATGGGTGGAGAAAGGGAGTGTGGGGAGACAGGTGGAGTAAACAGATGGCTGCCAGGATGGTTAGAGGGCTGGAAGGATAAATGGTTGTGCCGATGGAAGGAAGGGAGGAGGGGAGAGAAGGAGGAAGGAAGGATGAAAGGGAGGGAGGGAAGAAGGGAAGGAGGAAGGGAGGGAGAGAGGGTGGGAGGGAGGGAGGACAGGTGTTTGAACAGTAGACAGCTGGACAGATGGAGGGTTGACGCACAGCACGGAGGATGTAATACACAGACCCTCCGGCGAGAGTCCATCTGAGCCCCTCCCTGTCCCTTTTGTTTTCCAGGCCATCGCCCACCTGTCCTCCCGCTCTGTGCCTCTGTGTCTCTGCTGGGTGGCCTGACTTTTGGCTATGAACTGGCTGTCATATCCGGTGCCCTGCTACCATTACAGCTGGACTTTGGGCTGAGTTGCCTGGAACAGGAGCTCCTGGTGGGCAGTCTGCTCTTAGGTGCTCTCCTCGCCTCCCTGGTCGGGGGCTTCCTCATCGACTGCTATGGCAGGAAACGGGCCATCCTGGGGAGCAATGTGGTGCTGCTGGCTGGCAGTCTGGATCTGGGTCTGGCTGGCTCCCTCCCCTGGCTGCTCTTGGGCCGCTCTTCCGTTGGCTTCGCCATCTCACTGTCTTCCATGGCTTGCTGTATCTACATCTCAGAGCTGGTGGGGCCGCGGCAGCGGGGTGTTCTGGTGTCACTCTATGAGGTGGGCATCACCGTGGGCATCCTGTTCTCTTACGCCCTCAACTATGTCCTGGCTGGCACCCCTTGGGGCTGGAGGCACATGTTTGGCTGGGCAGCTGCACCTGCTCTCCTGCAGTCGCTCAGCCTCCTTTTCCTGCCTGCTGGTGCGGAGGGCTTGACAGCCCACCAAGACCTCATCCAACTCCAGGGAGGGAAGGCCAGCAAACCGGGCCCAGGGAAGCCACAGTACACCTTCCTGGACCTCTTCAAGACCCGGGACAGTATGCGGAGCCGGACTGTAGTGGGACTGGGCCTGGTGCTATTCCAGCAGCTAACAGGACAGCCCAACGTGCTCTATTACGCCTCCACCATCTTCCGCTCTGTAGGCTTCCGAGGAGGATCCTCAGCTGTCCTGGCTTCTGTGGGGCTTGGTACTGTGAAGGTGGCTGCCACCCTGACTGCCACAGGGCTGGTGGACCGTGCAGGCCGTAGAGCCCTTCTACTTTCTGGATGTGCTCTCATGGCCTTGTCTGTCAGTGGCATAGGCCTGGCCAGCTTTGCTGTGTCTCTGGACTCAGGCCCTAGTTGCCTGGCCACATCCAACACCAGTCGGCAGATGGACCTGCCTCAAAGCTCGGCTCTGCCTAAGGGTTCATCTCTACCACCAGTGCGACAAACCAGTGGGGACCCAGGACAATCAGTCCTGTCAATCACTGAGGGAACCAAGCCCCATCCAATCACCACAGATTCCCTGGAACCAGCTCTTACTACTGCCTCCCCAGTCCCCCCAGCTCCCATCTTGGGACACACCCTGCTGTGCTGGTCTGCACTGGTTTGTATGATGCTCTACGTGAGTGCCTTCTCCTTTGGATTTGGACCAGGTAGGAGGTAAATCCAGAGACCTCTGTCCCTTTTAGTGGACCTTATCAGAACTTTAACGGTGGGTGACTGGGGCTCCAGGGTCCCCCGCTTATATCAAAGGGTTTCTCCAGGGCCCAAGTCTAACTACACTTGCAAGTTTTTAGGTCTCCTCTGCCCCTCACCAAATTTTAAACGTCAGGTCTCCTCCCCTCTTGAGTCTACCCCTGAATGGCTTCATCTGAGAGGGTTTAGATAAAAACCAGACACGCCAGTTTGCCTAGGCCCCTTCTGCTCTTGGCACTGAATGTCCTGTGTCCCAGGAACCCGATACTGCAGCCACTCATGGGATTCCTGCGGGGGTGTTGGGGTGTGCAGCTGGGAGAATCTGGGGCTGAGGGTGAAGCACAGGGCTCAGCTAATGAGGATGGGGGTGGCCTGGTCAGTTTATGTCTCTTGCTCTTGTCCTAGTGACCTGGCTGGTCCTCAGTGAGATTTACCCCACTGAGATCCGAGGGAGAGCCTTTGCCTTCTGCAGCAGCTTCAACTGGGCGGCCAACCTCTTCATCAGCCTTACCTTCCTCGACCTCATCGGTGAGTACTCTTGCCTCATCCCAGGCCACATCCATCTGGACCTGGGGGCAGTTTTCAGCAGAGCTGGGTCACAGTGGCATGAAACCTGATCCAGCCCAGCCTGTGAACCAAAAGGGAATATTCCATCTCAAGCCACCTACATGAGTGGGGTGGATGAGTGTGGGGTGGATGGGTGTGGGGTGGATGGGTGTGGGGTGGATGGGTGTGGGGTGGATGGGTGTGGGGTGGGTGGGTGTGGGGTGGGTGGGTGGCTTCAGACAGAGCCAGCTGTGGGTTTCCCTTCTCAGGGACTGTCCTTCACTCTTTCTTAGCTCTGCTTATCACCCAGGGTCTTTGTTCACAGTAATTCCTGCCTCATGGTATAAAGGTGGCTGCCAGCAGATCGCTAGTGCAACCTAAGTCCTGGGCTCAGCCTTCATTGGCTCAACAAGATCACTCTCCCCTCCCAGAGCAAATGGCCGGTGCTGTTCTGATGCCCATGGCTCCTTTCCTCTGGGCAATTTTTAGGACAGGGTGACTTTTCTTCTCCCCATGGTCAAATGTCTCCAAGTCTAGCTCTTCAGGTCATGGGGACATTTTGAGAGGCCGCTAACACAATGCTCTCCCGGGCTTCCTTCCCCTGCTGCCCCTGTGTCCAGACATATCTGTGCGGGATGGATGAACAAGACAGAAGGGGAGGGAGGGAGGGAAGAGAGGAGGGACTCCTAGTGCATCCTGCCCTAGCCTCTCCCAACTTACTGATGAGGAAATGTGTAATTCCTGAGTCCAGCCAGCTATCAGAGGACTGGAGCCTGGCCCTACCAACAGCCCAGGGCAGATCCCAGTGCTCAGCGAGCTGATGGAAGGGTGATGCAGGTTGCCAGAGAGAAAAGCACCCACACAGAACCTGACTTTCTCCTCTACAGAATCCCTTCATTCAAGCCCCCTCTCCCTCTCTTGGGCCCACTGACTTTAGAGGCCCCTGGGGTCATCTCTAACATGGTCCTTAGCCCTGGGCAGAGCCTTCCATTCTGGGATGGAGCAGTGGCCTTGTCTTCCAGTTCTCCTGGCTCAGGTCTAGTCTAGACCTTGGTCCATTTGCAGAGTGACCCGTTGTGGCCTTCTGGAACAGAAGCTCTGTAGCCTCCTTTATCATGGTGGTCCCTGCAGCTGCCCACACCTCCACTCAGGTGTCCTGACTCTGAGGGACCTTTCCCTCCATATAAGCTGTCTTACTGTGTTGGTGGCCTCAGCCTCAGGGACAGCCAGTGGCTTCTCAGGCATTCTGCAAACTGGCCTTTGCAAGGGTGAACTCTTGGTTCTGTACCTAGGACCTGTTGGGTGGTATGGGCCTAGGGGCAGGATGCTCAGCTCCTGGCCCACAGTCTTAACATTGTGTCCCAAGGTGCCATCGGCTTGTCCTGGACCTTTCTGATGTATGGGATGACTGCTGTTCTTGGCCTAGCCTTCATCTACTTGCTTGTTCCTGAAACAAAAGGGCAGTCCCTGGCTGAGATAGAGCAGCAGTTTCAGATGAACAGGTACCTGATGGGTGGGGTTGGAGGCTGGGATGGTACCTCAAAAGTGGGACCCTGCAGGACCTCAGGCCTTTTGCCAGATGCTCACCTCTCCTCCTGGCTTGCTGCCATTGTCCCCAAGCCATTTTCCTTCATCTGTTTTGTTCCATTTGACAGAAGCTTTGCATTGGCCTAAAGGCCTGGCTCCTGGAGTTTTGTGTGTGGTGAAGGGATCAACCCCGGGCTTTGTATGTGTAACCAAGCATTCTAGTCCTGAGCTACATTTTGCTTTTGAGATAGGGCCCTGCCATATAGTCCATGTTAACCTGAGTTCAAGCCGACATCATACTTGCAAGCTTCCCGCCACCATGCCAGGCTCTCATAGGGATTGAAAATCACAAAACCACAGAGTCCTGGAATCTTAAAGCTGCCGAATCTTAAGAGTCATGGACTTTGGAGAAAAAAAAAAAAAAAAAGTAGCTGTGTCCTAGTCCGTGTTCCACCAGGTTTTTATACTAAGTCCTTGCAGTTTTGTCCCAGGCAGGGTTTGGGGATGCAGCAGAGGTCCAGAATGACAAGGTGCTATCTATCCCCAATGAGCTGCTATTCCAGTTTTGGTAAGGGGCAGACAGAACATTGAGGAAGAGGGCTCTAAACTGGTGATATTTAATGAGAAGAAAAAAATGAAGTCTCATATCTTTCTGGGAGGCCAGACTAGCACAGGGATAGACAGAGGATCGGGGCTTGTGGCTCAGTTAGAGTGAGGACCTCTCTGAGTAGATGCCACTTCAGTCAGTGAGGAGGGGAAGCAGCCATGGAAAGATGAGGGGAGGGGCATCCAAAATGGAGGGAGTAGCTGGTGCAAAGACCCTGAGGTGGGAGCCTGTCTGACCTGGGCAAGGAACAAAAGACCCCTCTCCCTTGGGACTGGAAGAGGGAAGGAAGAGGGTGGAGGGTCAACTCAGCCAGATGGAGCTAGATCACTTCCTGTCTGGAGGTCACAAAGGGGACTTCAGAATCTTAGCACCCTGGGGCCTGGAACAGTGGCAAGCACACCCCGGTCACCAGTGATAACTCTATGAATGCTCCAAATAGAGTTCAAGGGCAGCCGGTGCCTGAGCTGATGGTGCCTGAGTGGGGAGAAAAGGCCAGTGGTTTCAGGGCTGGGTGGGAGGGAAGACCGTTCTGGGCGGGGGGAGGAAAAAGCAAGAGCAAAGGCCCTGGCTGGGGTGACGGCCGGCGTTCTGATGTTTGCAGACAGGCACAGCAGGCCAGGGTGGCTGTGATGTTAGGCCGAGGTCCTCACAGGGACATGGGAGGGTCTGGCTTTGAGTTTAGAAGCTGGGACGGAGACACAGCCAACGCTGTGGAGCTGTGCAGGCTGGAGAACAGGGGGTGTGCCTGTTAGGAAGAATCGGGAAGGGGTGGGGCAGGGTGGGGCAGTGATGTCCACTGCTTCCTGCCCAGGGAAGGCCCCAGGCTTACTGCCCTCTCACCATATGGTTTCCTTGGCAGGTTCCCTCTACGCTTTGGCCACAGGCAGAACCCCAGCGGTATCCAGTACCACCGCCTGGACGTCTCCTCAGCCTCCTGAGGGCCCTGTCTGCTTGGAAGGTGCTGGTATATTGGTTTCTGCAGCTCCAGCTCCCTGTCTGCTGGGGCCTGGAACTCATGGTCCAGGTTTCTTTCCATAGTGATCCCTGCCCGAAAGCTGCCTCTTGCTGGGGTGAGAGATGACCCCCTCCCTTCATTTTAAGTGCGAGGCTCTAAGGACTCTGGAAGATCTAGCTGGGTGCTCTAATGTCCCCATGGAGTTGGCTTGTCTGCAGTGTTTATGATGACATCCTCTGTGGCATCTCCATCAAGGGCTTCTCAGATGACCTGGGAAGGAAGTGTCTCTGCCTTCCTGTCCCCTTGGCAGGGTCTCGGTGATGGGGAGCCTGCTTAGGTCACTCCCTTCCTCTTGCCCAGGATGTTTATCAGGCACTGAGACTCTGACTGGGAACAAGAGGCTGTTGCTAAGATGGCTCTATGACCCTGACCTCAGTTTACCCATGGGTCCCACAAAAACCTGGACTAGGCTGCTCCTAAGATCTCTTCTCACACCGCAGGGATGGAAGTCTCAGAGCTGGGACAGAAACACTCAGCACTGTCACGCGGTCCTGGGACAGGAGCTTTGTTAGCAGAAACTGTACCTAGATTCAAGAGTCTAGCACCCTGGAATGCAAGAGCTGGCCACAACATGTGACAAGTGACAGGGCAAGGGACTCACTCAGATATTGCTGGTTGTGGCCTCTACTTTGGGTGCTATTGACAGCCTCTAGCCTCAATTTTTCCACCTGCGAATGGGCAGAGTTGTGCCCCTCAGGATGTATTGACTTACCCCATCTGCCTCAGGAGGGTCTTCATTGAGCTCCGGGGGCTTCAGCTCACAGAGTTACACAGGGCACCTCCCTTGGGGCATTGTAAGGGGCCGGTCAGCTGGGGTCCACCAAGTGGCTGAGGTCAGAGGTCGCATAAGGGGGTTGTAAAAAAGAGAGTCGGTTCCTGGACACTGGGTAGCTGGCCTCACTGTAAGACACACCCTTCTGGTTCCCGAGCCTGGCCCAGAGACCTTGTTCTTTTTCTACATATTTCACTTACAGCCAGTGGTGTGCTGGATTCAGCATGTGGTGGCTCCTCAGAGCTGACTGCCACACAGTTCAGATTTCTGCAAACTGATTGCTAAGCACTGTCATTTTTTAAAAAATATTTTAACTTATAATAAACAATTACTGTATTTATAGTAGTCAGTGTTCAGACTTCATCATCTCCTACCAGGTGTGGTGGCACATGCCTGTAATCCCAGCACTCAGGAGGCTGAGGCCAGAGGATTGGGCACTGTAGGCCAGTCTGGCTTTAAACCTTGTTCAACCAACCAAATAAATAGGTAAATACACAAACAAAACCCTGTTGCCACCTCCTAATTTTTCTGCTGCATTTCTCACTCCCCAGTGCTGCTGGTCATCCTCACATGTGTCTGAGGGAGATGGAGGAAGGTGCTGTGTTCTGCACTCAGTGCCTTCACAGGAAGTGCCTGGCCGTGTCTTTGCATTCCAGAAGTTAGGGAACACTGCTGACCAGGCTTTGGTCTATTGTTTGGTTGATTTTTCTGGAGAAGAGAACTGCTGGGTCAAAGGTTGAGGAGCCTCCCGTGTGTAGCTGCTATATTGAAAATAGCACAGAGAAAATGTGGTGTGTGAAAATTCCTCCCCTCTGGTCAGTTCAGCAGATACTGTTCATGGCCTGGATGGAACAAGGGGTTCTGAGGTATATCTGACCTTCTGGGATGTGTGTCCATCTGGTAGCCCCAACTTCCCGCTGACTACTTACGGAATGCTCTTTAGATGAAGTGTTTTCCCACACAAATACATGTATTTTAAAATAAATTATTTTGAACAAAGTGTGTGTGGTGATTTATATTCCTGCACAAATGCTCATTTATTGTCTACGGAGTGCCAAGGGCAGAGTTGTGGCCTAGATGAAGTTCCTGTTCTTATCCCAACATTCTGGTCGGGTGCTCGATCCCTGAGACCAGAAAAGGAGATGGCGAGGGGGAAAGGAATGGAGTGAGGAAAACTCATTGATTGACAGATATTGAATAGTAGGTAGATGGTAGGTAGGTAAGGGATGACAGACAACAGACTGACAGACTATAAGTAGGAGAGAGATAACAGATGAGGGGTTTGTGAAGAATAAGAAAGAAGAAGGACTAAGGCAACAGAGTGGGGTCAGCGGTACATGCAGCTGGGATGGCAAGATCCTCTGTGCAACCTGCACACGTGCACTCAAGTGCACAGTTGAACACACACACTCACACACACACACGCACACACTCACACAGGCACACACACACTCACACACAGGCACACACACACAAACACACACTCAGCTGATGCTCCACCCTCTCTCTGCTTCTTCAGCCTCTTCTGTCTCCTCAGGACCTAATGTCCTCATGTGTGACTCATAGCCAGACACTGGTCTCATATTTGCTCATTTGCCTTTCAATCTGGAATCTTCTCACATGTGGCCTAGGGGTTGGGGATTTTGAAGTGAGACTGAATGTCTCCCAGAGCTACTTGATCCTCCAGCCTCTACCTCCCAAACCCTGGGATTACATTAGCATGCTTGGCTACTCCCTGCTCCCCATCGCCTTAAAGGAAAAAAACTTTTTAAACTTTTGACACAAGGTCTCACTGTTGCCCAAGAAGGCCTTGATCTAGGAATCCTCCTGCTTCAGGGTCAGGAGAGCCGGGAGTATAGACCCATGCCAACAGATCTTGCCATCAGGCGGTCTACTTCCTATTTCTTTTCTAAGCGTTTTTTTTTTTTTTTTAAATTGGTGTTTGTGTGTATGATGTGTCGGGGGGGGGGGGACACATGTGTCGCTGTGCACACTCGGAGGACACAGGACAATTTTATGGTGTCAGTTCTCTCTTTCCACTTTTATGTAGCTCTTGGGATCAACTGCAGGCCATCAGGGTTCCTTTACCTGCTGAGCAACCTCGACAACACAGCTTCCTAGTTCTGTTTTCTTTTGGGGGGGGGAGCGGGTCTTTCGAGACAGGGTTTCTCTGTGTAGCCCTGACTGTCCTGGAACTCACTCTGTAGACCAGGATGGCCTCAAGCTCACAGAGATCTGCCTGCCTCCGCCTCCCGAGTGCTGGGATTAAAGGCATGTAGCACAATGTCAGGCTTTTGAAGTATGGGATATTTCACAGATAACTGTAATTCTCTCTAAAAGAGAACTGTCCAGGAAGGGCCTGTATCCTGCAATCCCATACTTGACCGTAGAATTCACTCCAGATCTACACAACCATTCCAACATATCACCTTCAAAATGAAAGAAATTTCTAGCTTTAGTAAGCTCAAGACAGTTAGACCAGGCATGTTGGAGGGACATGAGAGGTCTTAATTGCCTGTCTAGAACCTTCTAGCTTGTACCTGTGTTCATGTGACTCCTGTAATGTTCCATTTCCATACAAAGTTTCTAAATAAAAAAAAAATCTCTTAGGAATGCTTTAAAATATTATGTATATTCATACACGTGTGTGTGTATGTGTGTGTGTTGGTGGTCCTCATGGAAGCCAGAAAAGGGCATCAGTTTCCCTAGAGCTAGAGTTGCAGGTGGTTGTGAGCTGCCTGGTGCGGGTGGGAACTGAACCTGGGTCTTCAGAATGAGCAGCAAGAGTTCTTGATTGTTATTGTTGAGCCATCTCTCCAGCCCCCAGATCTTTTTTTTTTTAACACTTAGAACGCTACATTTAAATGCTAAGGACTGCCCACATCCTGTGTGTCAGAGAAAGTTTTTGTGTCTGCTCTCTTCCTGTGTCAGTGATGATAAATGAAGCCAGTTAAAACAGAAGACAGAAGAGCCAGTGTGAAGGCAGGGACAGACAGGTCTCTGTAAGTTCTAGGCTAGCCTGGTCTACACAGTGAGTTCTAGGACAGCCAGAGCTACATACGAGACAAAAACAAACAACAACAAAGCATAAGGATAAATATAAACATCATACCCTCCTCCTTTTTGTTATTATCTTTTTTGTTTTTTCCCCCAAGATGATGGAGTTTCTGTATGTAGCCTTGGCTGTCCTGGAACTCACTCTGTAGACCAGGCTGGCCTCGAACTCACAGAGATCCACCAGCCTCTGCCTCCCAAGTGCTAGGATTATAGGTGTACACGCCCATGTCCAGTTTCCTGTGAAGCAGAGTTCAGAAATGCCATGTCCTCGCCAATGGCGTCAAGAGCAGGATCAACACTTTCTCCCACCCTCTGGCTGTTTCTTGACTTGTGCTTGTGTAGAAACTTGAGTCACGTGCACCAAATCAAGGTTTCAGTTTTCCTGGCAAAGACCGAGTCTGCCAGTGGAAACAATGTTTTCATTTTCTCTTGCCTTCATCTATGTTTTTCTGTTTTCCCTACATGTGTATCTCCCCTGCACTCAGGCCCGTGACCCCAGACTTGGGGGCCAGATGACACCCTAAATCTCTGGCCTTGACAGTCAAGGCTGGTGATTACTGAGACATGATCTGAAAAACTTTCTCTGGAACCATATGTCAATCAGATGTCAACTTCTGGGGAGGGAGAAACTGGCAACTGTGCTGAACTTGGCTGCCACAGTTCCCTGCCAACTGCTGGGACTGAACAGACTTCGAGTTGGGCACAAAACCAGTTGCTATGACATCTTTAGTGGTTAAACCCAATCACATCAATACCTCACTGCGTTTCCTAACATCGTAGGCTCTAAGCACTACTTCAAGCTCTCCCACGGCTTCAGGGCCGTGGTAACTTTCCTGATTCCCTCAGTGAGTTAGTTTTTCAAAATGATTTATTCTGAAACATGAACAAATCCCTAAGATTTCTAGCCAGGAGATCTTGTTCCATGGCAAATGGGTCCACAGGAATGACCAGCTCTAATCAGTGTGTCTTTCCTTGGCTATGAGGCTGTTCACGGGGCCATAAGTTCTTCATACTGAGGGAGCAGAGTCAGAAGGAGGAAAACATACTTCCTAAGATTTGGGGTGCTCCTCCCCTGACTATCCATTCATTCTCCAGTCTGCCTGCTGGTCCCAGGCAGCCCAGGGTCTGACACCTGCTTGGGTCTGTCACTCTTCGGGGCAGTATTCTACTGGGACTGTCATCTGACCCAGAGCCAACTGCTTCTAAAGGTTCAGAACCAGTCTCTGGAATAAACACACATTTTCCAATCAGATTGGTAGTCCACTGCCTCTGAAACTTAGGATTTTCTAGGAATGGGTTGGTTTTATATGACCAAACTCTCTCTCTCTCTCTCTCTCTCTCTCTCTCTCTCTCTCTCTCTCTCTCTCTCTTTCTCTCTGTCTGTCTCTCTCTCTCACACACACACACATCCCACATCGTATTCACTCTCTGTAGCCCAGATTGGTCTGGAACCCCTTGGCAATCCTCCTGCCTCAGCCTTCCAAGCACCAAGATTACATATGTGACTTCCACACCTGCAGCTCTCAGGGTTAACAGCTCTGATTCCTACACTGGATTTCCAAAACGAAAGCTTGTATCTTGAGAGTCAGAGGCTCTGGGCTTAGAGCAAAAACCAGAGCGACAGCCCTTGTGCCTTTGCTCTTTAACCACTGGTACCTTTTACTTTTGTCGGGATGGGGTTCATAGTCCTGTAGTTTTGGCTCTCACCCTCCACTCTTCTTTGCTGCTGTCCTCCATAGCCTCTGGTTCCCCATGGTCTTTCACCTTCTGGATACTTCCAGCATGGTTTGCCCTTGCTTCTCGAAGTTTCTCCATCACTCTTTGGAACTCACACTAGTTTCCTTTCTGAACTGCAAGTCCTGGGGCTTGACTCATTTCTCCACAACCAGCTCAGCCTTCCTTGCCAGTGGTAAATACCAAAAGTAGACAGAAGTAGGAGAAGCCTTTTTGGGCCTGATGCGGCAACACTAGGCAGGTAGTGCATGGCAGAGAATCCTCCCAGTCACCCCAAGGACTCTGAGAAACAGGCTGCTTACAGAGCTGGGACGGGAGAATGGCACAGCTGTGCAGGACTCAAACGCCAGCAAGCACAGCCTGGCTTGTGCAAGGCTTCCCTTCACCACACCAATAGCTAAACCACTCACAGCTGTCCTGGTTGGTTTGGTTTTTGTTTTTTCAGCTTGACACAAACCTAGACATATCTGGGAAGATGGAATCTTAATTGAGAAAATGCTTCTATCAGATTGGCCTGTACGCAATTCTGTGATTAATGATTGCTGTAAGAGGGCCCAGCCCACATGATCCTGGGTTCTACAAGAAGGTAGGCAGAGCAAGCCGTAAGGAGCAAGCCAGGAAGCAATGTTCCCCTTGGTTTTTTCTTCAGTTTCTGCCTCCAGGTTCCTGCCTTGAGTTCCTGCCCTGACTTCCTTGGATGATGGATATGGAAGTGTAAGCTAAATAAACCCTTTCCTCTCCAAGTTGCTTTTGATCACGGTGGTTCGTTGCAGCCATAGAAACCCTGACCAAGACAACATCTTCACAAGGAACCAGTCACAGGGTTTTTGTGGAGTCACTAGGGAGGTACAACCTGCCTGTCCCGAGTGAGACCAGCTACAGGGTGAGCATGTACATCTGGGGTCCACTGAGGCTGTTCTACACTGGGTGGAGCTGTTCAAAGCCAGCACAGTTTGCCTGGAGCAGTCAGGACTGGAGCGAGGCCTCCAGAAGAAGGAGTTGTAGCTTGCAGCAACTGTGGTGACAGTGGCCTTTGCAGCTGGAGTGGAGTCATCCCAGAATGATCAGGGAGCATTTAAAACAGCTGCAGGGCAGTCTGACTGATTGTCAGCAAAGAGGTTGCTTGGCCAACAGCAGGAACACGGAAAGGGTCTGGCAGCTGTCTTTCAAGGGTCCAAATAGCTCATTCATAAGAAAAACATGCATGA